ATCGAACTTGTGTTGTTGTTTGTGTTGCAAATAAACTAAGTAATTTTGAACACACACATGGCTAGTCTTCCTTCCCTTTCGCCTACATTTCTAGGCGTGGAGGCAAGATACTTACAAAATGAGACTGCTTTTTTAAAAATTTGTTCCACTATAACCTCCAACACCAAGGGATAAAAAAAAACAAAATTAAACAAAAATAGTTCCATGAAAAACAAAACCATAAAACATATAATAAAAACAATAATATTATTCAGGTCTTATTTATCTGCTGAAACAGTATCAGATGATATGATGTGGAATACATAACAAAAAAAATCACCACATTAGATAATAAAAAAAATCTTTACTACTTTATTCGTGTTATCATTAAGTGAATTAAAAAATATGGTAAGTTGTTTATAATTATAAAATAAAATGTGAGTGATCGCATGAGATTAAGGTATACGACAACCCTAAAATTGTGAATTTTGCCAAAATTCAACAAATTTTATTTTATAGGCCATTTAATTAGCTTTATAAAAATACCGAGTTTATTATTTTCCGTTGTCTAGAACAAAAACTACAAGTGTTTCAGTAAATTGCTTTAAGCAAGATGTTATACTTTGAAATGCATTTTACTCGAAATGTGTTTTTTTTAAAAATGTTTAAATGGGGAGAGAGATTTCTCAAAAAGTTATGAAAATAATTAAATGAAATTTTTTGTGCATCTTTGGTATAATAGTAGAAGTGTTTTATACTTCAGATTTATCAATCACTGTTTAATCACAAAATTTACAGTCCCTTATGCAAGTATAACCACTGTTTTTTTAAGTAATTTCTTATAATAATTAATATAAAGTGCTCTATTTTAAGTAAAAATTAAAATATCTCTTATCCTAAAGGTCATTTCAAAGGTCATTCCTAAAGGTCATTTTTTTAAAAAAAGTCATCGTAAGTATTCGGATACCTCAATAGAGCTTCAAAGAGAAGCAATTAAAACTATCAGTAGCGTTTGATTTATTAAAAAACTTATCTTATTAATTTAAAAGTAGATAGAACTTTATGTAGAATTCCTACTCTCCAAGCAAACTATCAAGATAAATTACTTCCAAATGTCGTTTGTGACTTTAACCATATAATCGATCTTAACTTAGAAAAGGAACCAATTCTTAGCCGAGGGTGATTGAACGTGAAATCTAAATCTTAGGTACATTTCATTTTTTCAGTTTGTTTATGAAAATATTTGAATTTTACATAGAATCCAATCAAAATTAATTATTATTACTAGTATTAGTTTGCGCAGACTATATTTTATATGATGGCTTTTCTGCTGAAGACTTAAAGAAGTGTTTTAAATACTTCAAATATCTTTTTAATCTGACTATTGAATTGCTAAACATTAAGTGGCTTAAAAATACATAACATCACTGACGAATTAGTCTGAGCAGCATGTATAATTCCTGTTCCACACTGCTGGTCACCGGAAATGCAACACCAAGAAAGAAAAGATAGCACAACAAAATTTATTTTGTAGATAACATGTTTACCAAGTATCAAATAATTAAATTTATAACCTTCTGGGAAGTGGGGTTCCTGCCAGAATCAGTAAACAGAGTATTGGTCATTGTTGAAGATCACCGCTGCCACGCGCCTCAGAATTGATTCAAAAAGACTTTGGATGGGTTCTTGGGGTACAGCAGACCAAGCAGCATCTACACGTTGACAAAGTTGATCTGATGTGGCAGCTGAGGGTGTAATCTGGGTCAATCGTTGAGCAACCATAAACCACATGTTTTCTATCGGCGAAAGATCCGCAGAGCGAACCTGCCAAAGAAGCAATTAAATCTGGTGATTGACGCAGAGCCTTTGGATAATGAATGCCACGTGTGGTCGTGCATTATCCTGTTGAAATATGGCTGTGGCCAAGCCCTGACAGTAAGGAAGGACAACAGGCTCCAACACCGTGAAGATGTAGCGCTGGCTGTTTAATGTACCGGCAATGAGTACTAGAGGAGTGCGAGAGTGATATCCGACACCGCCCCATACCATAATACCCGGTGCAGGACCAGTGTGGCGGTGCATAACTCTGCTGTTCAGCATCCTCTCTCCTCGGTGCCTCCAGGCTCGAATCCGACCATCGTGGTGTTGCAGACAGATACATGACTCGTCAGTAAAGACTTCATTCCATTCTGCCACCCACATCCTTCTTTCATCGCACCATTGGCGGCGGAGACGTCTGTGGTTCTGCGTCAAAGGTAGACCAAGCAATGGACATCTTGCGGACAGACCACTCTGCTGTAAACGGCGTCGAATGGTACGCTCAGACACTGAATGATGCGTTACGGTTCGTGATGAGACTGAACGATCCGTCACTGCCATGTGCACAATTTGCCTGTCCTCACGTAAAGTGGTGCACTGCGGTGGATGCGATCGACCACATCGGTCCGTCGTACCCTACTGCATCCAATGGTCACATATCCGCATTACAGTTGTTTGGTTTCGTCCAACACGACTACCAATTTCTCTGAAAGATAATCCACAATCTCGGTAGACCACTATCCTTCCTCTGTCGAACTCGGATACTTGATCAAAAGCTGATCGCTGTTTTCTATGAGACATAATTGATCATTTTTGGAAAAAACCACAATTGCCGAACTTGAAATCGCCGAAATCTCCAGGCCTTAATTAACGCTTTGAGGTGGCGCTACAGGCGCGCGTGATGTGTGTCTGTGCTGAAATTCTAATCATTTGCATATCTCACTTTCGCTAATGCATGTTGTAAATTTCATGTTATTTGCATGCTTCCTTCAGCATGTTGCATTTACGGTGGCCAGCAGTGTAATTTCGCTTCAAAAACAAATAATATAATTTTTTTTAAGGTCAGTTCCTACTTAGATCAACAAAGACAACTTTTATTTTAGCTACTTTTTATTAAATAATTACAATTAATATAAATAAGTATATACTTATGAAAGAATCACACTATTAAGTGGCCTGACCATTAGGCTATTGCGGCCACGAAACAGAGATAGAATGGGGAAGGTTCATGAGATTCTATATTGTACGTATTTATAAACACTGTTGTGTGTTAACAAAATTAATAAATGGTTATTCTTGTACACAAAAGTCATGTTTTTAATTAGAAAGGCATAGGATTGTAAAAGTGTGACAAAATAAATGCAATTCTTAGGCATAATAATTTTTTTTCTCAATTCCATTGATTTCATTAAAAAGAAACAGTCTACGGACATAAGCCTGAGACAGGGCACTAATATCAGTTTGTTGCTGTTAGAGAATCTCAAATCTTTCTTAAGGGAAGTATGTATAGTAATCTTTAGGGCGAAGTGTGTACAGTTTTAAATATTTTACTTATTCTTCGAATACAGTACACTTTTTAATAACATATGGACTAATGCGTCAGGATTTAAAATTGCAGGCTAAGTAAAAATGGTCCAGAATTCAAATGATATTTATTAAAATTAAAAATTGTGACGGGGCATTCATCGCGATTTCTATTAATGTCAATGGCCGAAATGGCAATTATTCCAACTAACTCAAGAAGAAGAACGTGGTTATGTAAATTAGGAATCATATATATATATACATATATTGGAAGGTAGCAGTAGAGCGGGGCCGATGTCCGGGTCTATGTCTATACACTGAGTGGTGTAGACATAGTGCTATTCCCACTCAGCTATCGTATATTGCTGAGTGGGAAGTGAAGTCGCTAAGTAGAGAGTTAGCTGTAAAGTGATTTGAGATAAAGTTAGAAGAAGCCTAACTCAGTGCTTCTCAAACTGGGGGCGTGACAGCTCTAGAAGGGGGGTGCAAGCATATTGAAAAGTCAAGAGCAAAAGATTATTTAAAAAAAATTATTAATTCACTGAAAGTGTAAACAAACAGAATACGTTCAGACATAAAAAGAAATAAGATACACATTTACACTGATGCATTATACTTATAAATATATCAGTGCTACACAATGTATTTTATAATTAATGTAACAATTCTAAGTTAAAAACAAGTTTATTAATGACCAGTATATATAATTTATAAAAAAAATTAGCACTTATCTTGATAATTTTTGTACGGTTTATAATTTATATCTTGATAATTTTTGTACGGTCGATCATAAGTTTCGCAATTCGCTTCCAATTGTCAACCGTTTTCCATGCAGGCACGCGTATGTGATGTAGTGGGGGAGGAATAAAGGAGCAAAAATAATCTGGAATAAGTAAATTCTTTGCAAACATTATCATGGTCCTTTTATTGCATTCCTAAGTCTTGGAATAATTTTACTGATAGCGATGCACAGAAAAGATCGTACTTCGGGAAGACGTATATATACGTCTGGAGAAATAAAGGCTTTGGCTTAGCGAGATGATTATATACATGGCGGGTGCTTAAGAGGTTAAAGTCGTATATTGTAGTTTTAGCGTCAAAGTATAGTATTATTGAATTCAGTACATTATTATTTTGGGGGGCGATGAAAATTATGATTGAAAATTGGGTTGCGAGTATTGCAACTTTGAGATGCAATATATATGTGTGCGCACACAGACGCACACATATATAGTCTGATTCTCTACAAACAAGAGATAAACATTCATCAATCACATTCGAAAAAAACACATACATAGACAATAGAAAGATCATACAATGAAGGACACATGAGCAGCCGAGATTAAAAATTATAAAATGAATTCTGCAGTATTATAAACATTGCTGACTTAGGACAGCTAATGTATAAAATAATTTATATAAAAGTGGGGTTTTTATATAAAAGTGAGAAAATTTGAACAAGATATATATATCTCGTTAAAATTTTTAATCGTTAATAAAATACTTTCTATTCATTCATTCAAGTTTAATAAATTTTTTTAAACTTGAAGTGGATGACACTTGATGTTAATACAGTTTTTTTAAAGCCTTGATTCACCAATTAAATTAAAAATGAATAAATAGTAACAAACAAAAATAATATACCGACTCTATATATAAAAAGCAAAATCGTTCATTGTGTCCCTGTAGCGTAATGAATAGCGCATTGGACGTCTAATCCAAAGGTCGAGAGTTCTAATCCCACCTGGGACGGCCTAATTTCTGAGTATGTGATTTCTTTTTACTGTATACTTTTATTGGAATAATTAAATTTAATTAATGAACAAACAGAAACAAAAAAAAAATAGTCCAATACCGTATATAGAAAGGAAAATGGAAAAACTGCAAAGAAATTATCTTTCTATTTTGTCACTTAATATTGTGATTCTGTCATATGTATATAATATTTATATTAATTGTAAATATTGAATAAAAAATAACTAAAATAAAAATTTTCTTGGTTGACCTAAAAAGAAAATGACTTATTTTTTTAATATTACTTGTTTCTTTTAAAAAAAATATTTTAATATAATAATCACGGCATGTTAATGCTAGCAATTTCCTTTCATTATTATTATTTTTATCAAATTTCTCCAAGGATTTAACTTAATTAAAGATTACACAGATAGTTTTTAGTGTTTACATCTACATTCGAATTCGCTATCTATCGAATTGTATGGTCGACCCCCTTCACCAGCGTATATTACTTTTTTTCCTCCTGTAATGCAGGATAAAGTCATGTTTGCACTCGATATTTGCTCCCCTCCCTTGCACTACGGCTTTCCCGCCGAATCTTACTCAGCAGAAATGACGGCTTCAACTAAACAAGCATGACTTGGGACGCATGCGCGGAAGGAAAACTGGACTATCCGCTTAATATGCAGAAGGTGAGTCTGCTTCTTCACTTCTCTTCTCCCTTCCTCTTTCCAATCTCGGTTATCTGCAAGTTTTTCTCTCCCCCTTCCTCCTTTTCGTCTTGGTGTTCCGTTTTCCTAAGAGGGACGTGTGAAGACTGGGAAACGAAGGAATAGCCCTGGAAATGTGTTTTGTTGGTGAGTTGATGTCGCTCTTACAGGTTGAAGGAACGATAGATGGACACAGTGATGTATTGGGGAAGGGGCAATGTTCTGAAAGTTAAGGAGATTTCTGAGAATGTGTTAATTAAAATGAATTATTAATAAAACACTTCTCACACAAATTTTTGAGCATACAGGATTTATGTTTACAGTTGAGGAGTGGCATATACTACACCCAGCTCTTTTTTGCACGGTAGATACATTCCTTAGAAAACTGTACACACACAAAAAAATACATGCGGCATATGGTAAATTTGGAGATATTTTCCAAAAAACTAATTATAAAATCCTTGTTTTACATATTTACAATACAAAAATGATTCATTTTTATCCCCCTGAAAAATAAAATTAGTATACAGTTAAATTCAGTCTATTAGTACACATATACATTTACAACATAGAAAAATTCAAATTGAAAGGAGGATTAAAACTACTTACTAAAAAGTATTCATCGTTACTTGATAACAAGTTTGAACGTTTATTACGAACTGGGATCAAAACTGCTATCTTCAGTAGATGTATCCGGCTGGGCGGTATGGTTGGTTTATCGCTGGCTTTCTGCACTTAAGGTTGAGGGTTCGACTCCGGCCCATGTCTGTGGATATTCATGATGCAGAAAATCAACAGAGGACGTAGCGTACTATCATAAGGGATGTAAAAGGTCTCTAGAGTGTCAGTTTGGCTTAGGTGCTCTCGGCAAAATTAAATCCTAGCGAGAGCTTGCACATCGTCAGAGCTCAGGTGCCTCCCTCTGGGCAAGAAACTTGGTGTCAAAATTATTTGTGGCAAGCGGCAATTGGTATCGTTTATATGGTGCCGCGTTTAAAAGTGATACAAGCTCCAGGGGAATGTACTAGTGCCTGCAAAGGCTAAAAGTACCAATACACGCCACCCCATTAGGAAAAAAAGTAGATGTTTCAGATATCTCTTGCACAACTGTCGGTTTTGATTCAAATGAAGAATTTCGTTCGTTATTAACGGCCTCTGTTGGATTTTTTGTTGTTGCTAAGTTTTATTAATGGCTGCCATTTTTTTGGTTTCTCGAGTTGCTTATAAAATTTTTTATATCCTGCTACACACAAAACTTAAGATTACGTTGAAATTTTAAAGCGAACTCTATGTCAGGATCATGAGTAAGAATATGTTGTTACACATACTTGCAGCAAATTTCAAGCCCTCGCGATTTAAATCAATTGTTAATAACAGAACTTCGACTTTATCATTATTATCTTAAACTGTCATAAATTTGATCAAATCGTCCTCATCCAAAGAGCATGAATCCCTAAATTTTGGGGGAATTCGTGCTAGAGCAAAAAATACGTTTAAAAAAATCGTTAAATTCGTGTACCGTGTTATTTAAAAATCGGGTAAAAAAAAAGACAGTGTAAAAAAGAGTTGGGTGTATATGGTGCACGTTCAGTAGCGCACACAAAATTTTTTCAAGGGAGGGGGGAGGGTTCAGGGTTGAAAGTCCACCATTTTGGTATCATGCTTCAATACGCCGCCCAACATATTATTTTGATTTTTTCAATTTTCGGAAACAAAAACAATACAGAATTAATTATTAAATAAATAATTAGCATTAATTAATAAAATTAATTATTAATAACAAATACATAGTTAAATTACGTTATATGCACATTGGATTATAACCAATCGAAAAAAAATTAAGTTTATTCGGGGGTGCCCGGACCCTTAGGACACTCCTTGTATGCGCCACTGTGCACGTTATATGCTGGTATAAAAATGATATTAATAGACACACATGTAAAGCCTGAACTAATAGCGTGCAACCCTTTGGAATAACTGCCATGTCTATGTTGCCCTCTGGCAGCAATTTCTTCATATTATACGTTATAGCAGGGGTCGCAGTGGCGTAACGTAGACTCCCGAAACCCTAGAATCGCACGGGGGTCTGATGTTACGGTTTTGCAGTTCTTTGTAAGATCCGACTTGGGGTCTAAAATCTGACTGTTCAGGGAGGGGCGGGCCTAAGTTTCTCTATTAAGGTATCCGACTACGTTTTGGAATCGTGATTTTGCAAAAGCGTAAAAATGTATAATATTTATATTTAGTGTCTCTTAGATTAGAGTTCATGTATAAAATTGTTTCAAAAATATTATTACTATAAAAAATATTTAACTGCAATATATTCTGGCAAAAAACTAACTTAGAATGACCTATTTTCAAAAAGTTCTCCTTTTATGAAAAATGTTTGTATAGTAATAATATTTTGCTTGTATATAAAAGAAAGACTACTCCAGTAGGCGTGAACTAGGAATTTTGATATAAATAAATTAGAAGTTGATTTATCCATATTTTAATACCCCAGATGAGGGAAATTTTAAGAAAAAAACGTCGATAATTTTTTCAATTGGAAGTAACTCTGAAAATAATGAGAATTTTTCAAAAACCCTAGTTCAAGCTCTCTGAAGAAATCTTTTTTTTATATATAAGCAAAATATTATTAGTATCGAAGTATTTTTCATAAAAGGAGAACATTTTCAAAATAGGCCATTCTAAGCTCATTTTTTGCCAAAATATTGCATTTAAATAATTTTTTATTGCAATAATATTCTTAAAAGAATTTTATACGTGTATTCTAACCCAAGTGACACGAAATATATCACGAAAATGATCCATTCATGCGGTATTTTAAAAGCACGGTTCCGAACGTAGTCGCGTACCTTAAGCTACTGAGGGATCCCAAACCTTTTTGTCCCTAAGGCGACATTCTAGAACATCTGTTGGAAAGTGGGCAGCGTTTATTTTTTCAAAGCGAATTTATAGTTGGAGAGAGTTAATTTGGACAAGGGTAATTGTGTTGGCAAATGCGCGAGGTAAGAAAGATGGCTTGCATTTCGCTTTGTGCTGGTATCTGTAATGAACTCAATCTCTTTTTCATTAAAAATATACACTCAAATAATTTCACACATAAAACATTTTTATTGTGATCGGACCGCGACGGGCAGACGTTAAAAGACCGGCGGGTGCCACAGTGCGTGCAAGAATAGTGTTGCAAACCCTTACGTCGGAGGAAATCGGAACATTTCTCAAAAGATTTTCTGGATTCTGCAAGGCACCTGGACGCTTTTGTCAAACATTTCGTGTGAAAAATTTCATACAGTTTTTGTTCATCCATCCAGTGGCGTAAAGTATACCCTCGCAACCCTCACATCAATGGGGGAAGGATCAGGATTCCATGAGACTCAAGGAATCCTGGGTTCGGGTAAGAAGCAGACATGACCTTAAAATTAGCAACTTTTATTCTATCTTTAACTCTTTATGAAATATACAATTTTATATTTTAACTCTGAGAACAATCTGAAATCTTAACCCTAAATTGGATAAACTATATTATCGAAATTCACTTATCTTCGGTTGGAGCTCCTTGATACGATCCTTCTCGAATCCCAATAGCTCGGTCAGCTCCAAAGTTATTTACTTCCACAATTCCTGGTGGATTCTACGATGACTATTAATCTCAAGATGCGATCACCCGGTCTCTGTTCAGCTTTACTTATACTTGAATTTCACGCTTAACGATTAACACTTAACCATTAAAATTCATACTCAGCGACATGGACTTAAATAGTTAAAATCAAGTCATCACTACGGAAAGCGGTTTTTAAACTAAAATCACAGTTAAAGAATATTTTCAACAAGATGATTAGTAGAAGAACCTGAATAATACCCGTTATACGGTGAACACATCTAAAAATTAAAAAATCCATTCTGAATGTATTGGTGCGGGTCTTACGTCCATGCCCGTATTGCGTCGGAATGACTTTACGAGACTAAATTATTTTCCACAGAATCAATTACTTAATCATTTTTTAAATTTGTTTTAAGCACAAAAATATTTTAAAAAAGAAATATTATATAAAAACTAGCTGGTATATATACCCGTTCTTCGTGCGGATGAATTGAAAATTTAAACAATACAGATTGAAGAATAAAGAAGTTTTGAATGATTTAATTTTACTTTAATTGCAAATTAAACAACAACAACAACAAAGATTTTTGCATTTCTCAGCCAAACAAAAAACTCATTATTGCTAAACTTTAAGTTTGTAGATCTAATAGCTGAGATAAATAGGTTTTTTTTTATTTAAAGCACCTCGTAACTTTCTTGTG